GTACTATTGCATCGGTTTTCGAATTCAATGTTTAATTTACATTATATGTGCTGTTTTAGCTACATTTCGGATCAAAAATAAACAAATAATTTTAATAGTTAATTATCAATAATCATTTAATTGACAACTGAGAAAAAGTCCAAAATTGTAACTGACAGCTGACATTTGTACCCGCCTATCCAGACCCTCATGTTTATCTCTTGACTAGTAGATGAGTGAATTCAAGCAAAAAAAATTCATAAAATGGCGCCAAACAGTTGACATCTGTCAATCAGTAGGAGTTATTAAACACTATTTACTTTTAGAGATACCTTTTCGCGCTTTTGAGGTCATCTCCTCCCTTTTTTTCGCTTTTGATTGGAATGTTTCTAAACGCATAAAAGGTACCTTATTCGTAGCCTGCGCAGCAAGCGTTTCCAGTCGAGTTATAGCGCGAAAGTTGGAGCGGGAGCAAAAAAAAAATGGAAAGGGGAGGGGGAAGGGTTCCTTCACTCCCCTCCCCCTCCCCCTTCATTCCTTTTTTTGCTCTCGTTCCAGTTTTCTCGACGAACTCGCGCGGAACCGCTTGCTACGCGGGCTACCTTATTCGCGCTTTTCAGAATCGCTTGTAACCGACGAAAGGTACCCTTATCGCGCTCTAAAGCTTTGTTTGCTAAAGGAAGAAATGGATGAAGAGTGGACAATATTGACGTCAAAATCTTTTCACTCGAAAGCTAAAAAATACCTGGCTCTTTTTTCAAAAAAGGTGTCTTTTTCAGCTTTTCACCTAATCGACTAGCATCAAACAAAAAGAGGTAAAAATTTTGCATTCTGCTGTATGAAAAGTGAATGCCAAAACTAAGTTTTTCTGCTCTTTTTACTGGCAGAGTTGACTTTTTTTTTAAAAAGTAGAATTGCCGGAATCTTTCACGGACTAATGAGGTTTCAAATTAAAACTGAGCATGTCTTAAAAGGCATGGCCTAACACTACAGCATTTATATGTACAAAGTGCTGAGCTTGCTTAACGTGGGCGTCACTGAATGAAATAACCGGTCCACAGTTTTGTCAATTTCAGAACGTAACGCTGCCAAAGAGAAGTGGAGAAGACATTCTAACCAATGAAGAAAAAAACTGAAACCTACCACTGGCTGCGATCTGCATCAGGCCGACTGAGAGGAGAACGAACAGGAAAAAAAGTGGGTATAATCGAAAACCAGGCATGGCTGTAATTTTGACAAGGTTTTGTCTGGGCTTTGTTCCGTTCTGCATGTAATCTTTGGTGAGAATGCCTTTTAGTAAGGAATAACGGGCTAATTTATTGACAAACTATAACTTCCTCAGGGACTGTTTACAGGTTATTTGGTTGTGGTTTTTGACCTCAGAGGTAAAAAGATGTGTCATGATGGATCAAGTTTACGCTGAAGTTAGCTTCTTGCCGAATTCCGTTGACTTGAGTTTCTTCGTACAGATGCACAGGACATTTGAAATTTACGGTGCTGTATGTGACAATTAACAAGGAAATAAAAAATCTGCTTAAGTGTTCTTCTTTTTGTAGTACAATGTCATGTGTGGAAGATAAAAACAACCCAAACTAAGGTTTTAGTTTTCCATCATGTTGACTTCCTTATCGATCACGTGATCCTGTTACGGTATAACCACTCTTTGTATTACGTGCAGCATATCTACTGATTTTGACCTATACGCCACCTTTGGACTGGCCAAAAGTTATATAACAAGCAATGTAACTGCTCATTCTACGTACTAGTTAATAACCTGTAATCTTGAATTCAGTCGGTATCTAAGCATGATATTTGCAATTCATTACTAGTACGTTAGCTCGTACAAGCAAACACGGAGAATTTTACTTCCGCAAATTGAATTTAAGCTTAAGTTCCTATTGTGTTTTAAGAGATCAATAACCACTAGTGTTGAATGCGACACATAGAATGAGAAAAAAAAAACACAAAAACATCCGTTTCAGCGTGTTGGCTTGTCCAGCTAAAATGAGAAGTGTGGGGTTTTGAGTGTAGAATGCAAAAAATTTAGGTGACCTATGTCATGCAATTTAATTTAAAAAAAGCTACGAGAAAGTTTTGCATCAGCTGAAATCCAAACTAAAATAATGGTCCAGTTTTCTTGGGGATTCAAACAGTTTTCTCTCATCTGTTGCCAAGGATCTGGATGGACGTGGATTGAAAGTTGAATTAAAATCGGGCGAATTTATGTTCTCAAGCTTTAATGCTATTCTGTAAAAATCACTAAGTGATGTAGCATCCTGCGTACTATTAAAAAAGTAACAAGAGTGATTCTAAATATGTTATGCTGTTCGATCCGCAGCAAACTATAAGGTTCTCAGAAATAAAAAGATGGTATAAAGTAATACTCTTTGACCCGCCTACACGGTATTTTACATCATTGCAAAGCTGCATTATTCTGGAATTATTCGCGTTACATGATTCCAGAAGAAACCTATGCTCGTACTGTAACCATCCTGTATTCGGTGAACAGGCTCTCTTGTAT